GTACCGAAAACAAAAAACTATCGCATGAAAGCTGTTTAAGAAATACTTAATGAAAACATAAAATTGTTGACACCATTCCCTAGCATTATAAATCAGTCAACTTTTAATCGTAAGCAATTTAGTTTGGGGTCGCCAAGGCCTACTACGTATATTGCGAGTAAAGAAATTTGGAATAACATGAGATAATTTTATTATGATTATGATTATCATTACTATTGTGAACTATTCCCAATCAAGGATTCCCAAATTAAAGCAAAAGCAGAAGAGCATTTACGACCGCATGATGCAAATGTTCAGATAATAAGAGCTGCAGAACTGAACCATGTAGGAACATTTTTTTTACAAGGGCGTGTAGTTTCTGGCGTGTGCCGATGACATCGACATCAACGGTAACAAAAATAGCGAAGTCTCTTCTGCCTTTTCCAAGCTGGATAAGGAAGCAAAGCGAATGCGCCTGGTGGTAAACGAGGAAAAGACGAAGTATCTCCAGTCACCGCGTTCGCGCCTTGGAACCCACGTCAATGTTAATAATAATAATAATCCCAACGGTTTTTACCCTCCATTCCCGCCCATCCGCATGAGGGGCGCAGTCCGCATGACGTACGGAACCAATATTTTAAATTTTTGTGCCGAGTCACGATAGGCAGGAGTTTGTTAAGTGTCGAGATCTAAAACTGTTCTGCTACAGAACTAAATTCATCAGCTGATTTTATGTATTTATGTCCATAATTCACTTATCGAGAGAGGAGAGTATCGCTTTCTTATTGCTGAAAAGCGGATCTGATATATCAAACGTGCTGGAGTGAGAGTTAAAATCCTGGCATAAGCAACGGAGTGGGTCGTGCAATTCAAAATTGGTTTTACAAGCTTTCAGAAATATGGGACAATGTTGACAGTTATAATTTCGGGAAAGTGGAGAATTTCATTTACTAGGGAACCAGCACTGTCACCGATAAAAATATCAACATGGAAAACCCACGCAGAATTACTCTTGCCAAGAGATGCTGCTTTGGACTGAGTAGACAATTGGGGAGTAAAGTCCTTTCTCGACGTACAAAACCCGCACTCTATAAGTCACTCATCATGCCCGAGCTGTTATATGCCGCAGAAGCTTAGACAATGACAACAATTTATGAGGCGGCTCTTGGAGTATTCGAGAGCAAGATCTTACGGAAGATATATAGGCTTCTACGCATGGGCGACGGGGGTTACCGTAGACGATGGAACGATGAGTTGTATGAGCTTTACAACTAAATGTACATAGTGCAGCGAATGAATATAGAGCGGCTCCGCTGGCTTAGATATGTCGTTCAATAGCAACCGAAGTTTCAGGTGTAAAAGAATTCAACTCGCAAGCCGATGGTGGTAGCAGACGAATAGGAAGCACCCATGGCAATGGAGAGACCAAGTTGGCACAGAGAGAAATGACTGGCGTTCTTTGTGGAGCTCGGCCAAAATGGCTTAGGCGGTTACAAAGCCAAAGTAGACGAAGAATATGCAAATGATAAATGACGGAGTTGGGGGACCATTTTCTTGGATGCGCCAGGAGGAACTAGCAAAATATTCCTTATCAGATGGATTCTGGCAACGGTTCGATCAAAAAATTGCATTACCTTAGCTATCGCTTCGTCTGGAATTGCTGCGACATTATTACCAGGTGGAAACATTGCCAATTCAGCTCTTTAGCTGCCATTGAACATATAAATCATCGAAACTCCCACGTGCAATATTTCCAGAGCATCCTGTATGAAAAAAGTTTACCAAAAAATTAAATTCATTGGTTGGGATGAGTGCACCATGGCACATAAAAAATCGTTTGAGGCTTTTGATCCATTGTTGCGGGATTTGCGTGGAAACGTTCAACCATTCGGGATATTGCTCGCAGGAGATTTTACGAAAACATTGTCTGTAGTTTCTCGATTAACACGAGAGATAAATGCTTGCGTGAAATAGTCAACATTGTGACAAGACGAACATACATACACTGCAGCTGAAGTATTCGGGCGACAATAACTGGACATTGGGAACGCAAAGCTGCCAGTCAATGAGAGATTAAGACGAATTTTATGGCCTGATAATTTTTGTAAATTATCGAAAGGAGAACTGATCGAAAGAATGTTTCTTTATTAAGAAAATCAATTTTAGGAATCACGATTGGCTCAGTGAACGGGCTATTCTTGCTGCGAAGAATAAGGAGGTCTATCAACTAAATAGTAGTGGTATTGACAACAGTCGTTGCTTGAGCTGATCAGCTCTTTTACTAGACTGCCAGACCACTTGTTCACTGTGGTGAATACCACTAATGTTATTCAATCCAGCATTCAACGTGAGGAAATAGCATATACGTCGATAAACACCGTTGTGGAAAAAGACCATCCAACGAAATTTTTGAACTCGATTGATCTCCCAGGGAGAACTCACATACTGAAATTGAAAATAGGTTTGACAGTTATCATGTTGCGGAATATTAATCAGCGAAAACTCTGCAACGGAATGCGACTCGCAGTTAAGAAATTGATGAAGAACGTAATGTAAGAAAAGATTTTAACGTGGCCTTTCAAAGGTGAAGAATTCCCATGATTCCATTTAATGATGATGATTGAATTTAAAAGATTTGAATTCCCAATTCGATTGACATTCGGAATCACTATCAATAATGCTCCAGGTCGAACTTTGCAAAAGTATGGTTTAGATTTAGATGCGGATTGCTTCTCAGATGTTGCGTGTTCCTGTGTCGGCAAACCAGATATCCTTGATATCTATGCAGAGAATGGAAAAATAACAAATATTGTGTGCAAACATGAAACGTAATCTTTGTTTCGTTAATAATTTATCGTACAGCTAGTCATTATAATAAAATAACATGCAGATACACCATTATACTGAAAAGAGTACGCTTGGAATATATGTACTGTATGCATGTAATTTATATGTACATACATATATATTACCACATATATATTACCACCATAATTCATATATTTGTGTATATTAAATACTACATTCCTTCCAACCGAAAATCATTAGCTTGCATTACTTACATATACATATGTACATACATATATGTATGTATGCTGTATGCAAGAATGACAGAATACAAGATTGCGCCCATCAGAGAGGATTTTTGAGAATAACTTTTGTGTGACGTCACACTGGTGCAATTGCGAGAGGGAAATGCCAAAACGTGAGCAAGAATGGAAGAAGAAGAAAAAATGTTGCAAGAAAAACGTAAGCAAGTATAATAATTTACGTATAATAATTTATTTGCATCGTTTTTCTCATTTATGAGAGGCCGAAATCCACAATGCTCGGGCTTCTATATTCGAGTGAGAGGAAATTTCTTTGCTTTTTTCGATCGCGAATGAAAAGCAGCGGAAATTTTTTGGTCTATCGCATTCCGAATCTGATGATAAATTTGTCTGCATTTTTCACTCGCGATAAAAAAATGTAAAAATTGATTTGGAATATTATCGATCGCGATAAATCTCATAAATGAATGAAAACGAATAATCATAAATGAGAATTTCCGAACCCTGGTTTTGAGATAACTTATTTTCTTACCATATCTGCCCCTACATAATAAAATAAGTATGTTCATATGTACATAGATGACTTCTTATAGCGATTAATTAAGTCATTATCGAAAATCCTATATTAAAAAAATCATTTACTACATGTCTCGCAGATATGCCTCGGGGAAAGATTTCTAAGGCAGTTAGTCTTCATAAAACACTTCATTTTTACTTGAGGTTTCTGTATTTCCCAATTCTACACCGATATTATGTATAATTCAGAATGCTAATTCCGCCTTGTTATACATTTACCAAAAACCCCTGGTAACTTCCTGAAAAGAATACGAACGTTTTTTAAACTAATTTGTTTAAAGAATGCATAAATCTCTATTTAATTTGAGCAACAAAATTCGAAATTGCAATCTATAGAGTCTCTCAAGGTAGGCTGTTCACCAATTGTCTTTTTGAATCGGCGCGAGTGGCTTTGCAACGTTGCTACAGGAGATGAAATGTAATCCAAATTGAGGCTGCTATTTTTAATTTTTTTTCTATCACATACTTCCATTTTCACTATTTATCACCATTAAAATGGACTATTTACTAGAGTCCGACCGATTAATCGGCCGATGTCGAGGCTAGTATCGTCCAAAAGAACCGGCAAGAGCCGCGTTTGGCCGATTCTTGAATGAGGGAATGTTATTTGGTTAATTGATTATGGTTTCCTTTTGTTATTATAAAAGTTTATAAAAGCATTTGTTCTTGAAATAAATTTATATTCAAGATTTTTGCCGATTAAATCCTGTATATAAATTTATTTCAAGAACAAATGCTGTTATAAACTTTTATAATAACAAAATAAAAACATAATCAAATAACTAAATAACATTACCTCATTCAAGAATCGGTCAAAAACGGCCGATGCCGATTCTTTTGGCCGATACTAACCTCGGCATCGGCAGATTAATCGGTCGGACTCTATTATTTACCTCCATTAAAATGCAAGCAAATTTTTTTTTGTTTTTGCACAGCGCCGCTTGTGGCCGGATAAAAACTGAAATTTAGGCTAAGCAATTTTTAGCGAAAGGGAGGACAGAACTGCAATTTTTGGAGATAGCCAAAAAGTTATAATCCGGCTGCTGGTCGACACAGATGGCTTTTTAATTTCGAAAAGAACTTCAGCAAGAAACGCGATGTTTTAGTATCCTTTCCAAATTGTTTTCCCTACTTTTCGTTTTTCTTTGATAAATAATTGCAAAAATTTCGCTTTTTTTCTTCTCTAAAAGTGAAGTTTTTGTTATTTTGGAGTATTCCCTATCGAATGGAAACAAAAAATGAATCATTTGACCTAATATGCATAGATATGTTCAATTATTTTTACTACAGTGTATAACGCAGAAATAACTACAACTATTCCTACTTTTTGTTGATCTATAAACTTTAACCTTATAATTTCAATAACTGAATAAATCTTCTTCTTTTCTATTTTAGACCTCATTCACACAGTGACGTTGGACAAAACTGGGAAAAAGTCATTTGGAATTTGCATAGTTAGAGGAGAGGTGATATATTAATGAAAAACTTACAATCATAAATTTTAAACAATTTAGTTTCACTAGGTAAAAGACTCCCCGAATTCGAAAACATCAGGAATTTTTATAAAAGGTATAGTTCCAGACAGTCCAGCACATCTGTGTGGAAAATTAAAGGTAACTTAAGGCTGCTTTAAAAAATTTACAAGTAATGCATAATTATTTTAAAACTGGGTTTATGAAGGCTTCAGGCTGGTAATTTTTCCTTTATTTTCACTAGGAATATATTTAATGATTTTATGAGCGCATTTCTTTTTTTTTTTTAGGTTGTGAAATAACATTTTTATATGTTTAGACTTTCTGTAAATATCCCCATTGCAGGGTACATCCTGATAAATTTATATAAAAATTACCCCAAATTGCATCTAGTTCAGGGACCGAACATTACATTTATTGATGAAAACTGTCATTGAAAATTTTACTATTAAGGAAATGTTCTACAACTAAGTGATACATACCAATCGATTTCTTTTTCCACCGAGAATCAAATTTGAAAATAAATCTTTTTTTTGTAATTTTTATGCAAAATTTAAATAAATAACAATTATTTTTGGCTTTTAATTTTTTAAATCCGAAATTAACAATTATTTTTTATTTTTATCTACATCGATGTTTGCCCGATGTTTTAATTTCTCAACTACTACACGAAATAAAATGTAGCCAGAAATGCTTTTTTAAACTCGAAAGAACTAGATTCACATATTCGCTACTATGTAACAATGATGTACCTAAAAATCAAAATTTACCTATCCCAACGGTTCTAATAAAATTGTTTAAAAAAGAAAATACATTTTTTCACTTCAAAAATTCACATTTGAATGTACACTGTCGATCAAAAGTGGATGCATGGTGTTTGTCAAATAAAAATATTTATTTGTTTATAAGAATATGGTTCATACTTTAATTAAAACCACATAAGTCAAACTTTATACAGAATTTATAAAAAATTCAGCACATTTTCATCTTAGTTTTGAACTTTTTAATCTAAATCTTTAGAAAAGGCGGGGTACATCTGTTATGTAATACAGGTACAAGTTTTAAGTGGCTAAAATGCCCCTTTAATTTTTAACGAGTTTTTTGCTGACCGGTTTTTGCGCTTTTTACCATATAAAAGAGTATTTCTTGTAGAATAAAATGTGCAAAACGCTAGCTATAATTATGTTGTACTTTAAATAAATCGTATTTATTTGAAAATAAAAATATTGAAATAGAGTTCAGAAAAGAAGCTTTGCTAATCTCGTCCCCATGTATATCCTATTTATATCCAGAGTGATGGTTGAACCAGCTTCCGAGAACAAGCTCTCGCTGGGCACTAGTCGTTCTGCAGAGTACGAACGGAATGGATGAACGATGTCGATGTTTTTCACTCTTCTAGTCGATATATCGACGATCCAGCAAAACATCGATGTTTTGAAAACAGCGATGCATCGTTTGCATCCCTAATTTTGTTGCACCCCCTATTTGGTTTTCGACAGCTTGTAGTCTTCTCGGCATTGATTTAACAAGATTTTCGCACACATTGGGATAAATCTTGCTCCACTGTTCTTGCAATGCATTCTAAAATTTCGATGTACACATCCTGTCCTGCATCCTTACATTAAGGGCCGGACTTTGTGAACCGTTTTGATAACTTTTGGGCAGTTATATAACAACCAACTTCTAACATCATGAGGTGAATGTTTTGGGTCGTTGTCCTGGTAGAACTTAAAGTTGTCTTCAAGACCAATCGCCAAATAAACAGGTGTGTTCATTATCCCATCTATAAAATGTGAATTCCCAACTCCTGAGGTTGCCATACAACCCCAAACCGTCACTGACACACCACCGTGCTTCACCGTTTTTCTTAGGTTTTTCGCTTCAAGCTCATGATTTGGCTTACACCACACTTTACCTCTTCCATCACATCCGAATAAATTAAAAAATCATAAAATTGTTGATATTGACAATATTTACCGTACGCCAGAATGAGAAATCAATATCCATATGTTTTCGAGCAAATTCGAGTCGATCATGTTGGTTTTTTTGCTAATAAGGGGCTTTTTTCTCGATACTCCACCATGAAAGTCATGTTTTCGCAATAACCTTCTTATAGTTTCTGGGCTAACCTCAGTGCCAGAAGATTCTTTAACCATTGCAGCTAGTTTTGATTTTATCAGTACAGTACTGATTTTTCAACTCTGGTACTGATTTTATTCAGTTTTTTAATCAGTACACTAATGTCCTGATTTATCAAAATTTGTACTGATTTGTACTGAATTTTCTATTAAAACAAATACTTTAGTATTTTCTTAAGCTTTTTACATAACGTTGGAACTTCCTTAAACTGTACTGTAAAAAATAAGAAGAAAATAATTTAATTATAGTTGACATGTTTTAGATAATGTTTGATATGCCCAAGAAATTAATACAACAAGTAATTTTTAGCAAAAAAGAAAACCGACTTCAATTCTCGTATAAAATATATATATATATATATATATATCATGATCCAATGATCGCATCTAAACCAGATTAGTATGGGATCACCTGCGAGACACTACCTTTCCGATGCAAAAATAATTATCGAAATCGGTTGACATGGTCCAAAGTTATGTGGTAACATACATAAAAATAAAAATATTCCGACGAACTGATAACCTCCTCCTTTTTTGGAAGTCGGTTAAAAAGATAAATCGTTTTACGGGCATATCGCCGGGTCGTTACGTACCAGTTGCGATAATATGATGGAGCTTAAATTATTTAAAAAGAAGGCTTAAATTTTTGTCGAGTGTTGTTAGTTATCTCGAAAATAACTGTCAGTTTAATAACAATAAATTTCAATATTCGAATGGCTTTTGCCTATAACTTGCAACTCCTTTTTCTCAATTTACTGACTTTGTAAAAGAGTTTTTCATACAAGACATAGAGTTAGATACTCTTTTTAACGAATTCTTAGGCTTTCGCAGTTTTTTGCGTAGTTGAAAAACTATTTAAGCCATGAGGAAAAGTTGTACTTTTTCACAGTAGGCGAGGATCTTAAGAATAAAGTTTCTTTCCTGACGCAAAGAGAGAAACCGGCTTCTAACTAAAATTATTTAAATTTAACTTCATATTAAAAGTAATTTAAAATGAAATGTATAGAATTCTTTGACTATTTAAACACTGAAAATGAAAATGATCTCATTATTGCTATTCAAAAAGTCACAAATATGAAATACTTTATTGGCTCCTGTGTATAATGATGTGTACACTCATGATAAAATGAATAACACTTTTATTTTTTATGAACTATATTTTATTTATATACCAAAATATTGTTAAAGACAAGAACTCAGGCGTTTTAAATTATTTTCTGTTACCTACATTCATAATTTTGCTTTGAATAAAAATGTACTGAAAAGTACTGATTTGTTTAGCATGAAAAAGTGTAATGTATTGATTTCGCGCATAAAAAATCTGGCAACCCTATGCAAAAGTAAAAGGATTTTGCTTTATTTCCCTTAAAATAAAGTTCTCATCCCTGATAGATAATTTGCTTGGTTTAGCTACACGCATTTTATTTGAAATCAATCCATTTTTGTGTAGCGTGTATTGACATCCTGAACTGTCGACTTGCTTTTAATAACCAAATTTGCTTTTACACGCTCAGTTTTTCCTCGTAAATGGTGATGTATAACTAATTTACGTTCTTCCAAGGTGGACTGTTTAATATTTCGCGACATTTTAATAAAATACTCAAATGACCTTCACTAACTGCTGCACAATATTGAAATGACTAATATTTTTGCTAACGAGTACCCTTCGAATAAATTTAACGGTATATATACCGCTATATTTTCTGAAAATATGAGCGTGACGACCTTCCACCAAAATTCTTCAAACACTGTGCTTGTTACATCACTGAGCCTGTTGCATTTTTGTTTACCCTTTGTCTTAAGAATGGAGTTTTTCTCGACCGCTGGAAAGTTTGTTCAAATTCTCCAATCTTTACTAAACTATAAAACTATAGAGCGATTGCCAAACAAAGTACATTCGCTAAATTGTTCGATAACATAATACAAAATAATTTACTGAGCCACATAAGCAGTAAAATTGTAGACTGTCAACATGGTTTTATTCCAGGGAGGTCTACCTCCACCAACTTGACATTGATCTCAAAAAATATTACTGATGCACTTATGTGTAAACAGCAGCTTGATGTTATTTATACTGACTTTTCAAAGGCCTTTGACAAAGTTGATCACTACATACTAAGAAAATTCAAACTCTTAGGCTTATCCAAAATTTTACTAAAATTCTTTGAAAGTTTCATTATAAACCGAATGTTACATGTTAAGATTGGCGGCGTTTATTCAGAAACTGCTAATACAACGCATTCTGGAATTCCGGAAGGTACACACAGAGAACCTCTTTTATTTTATTATTACAATTACAACGTTTTTATCAACTTGCAATGTTATACATATGTCCAGACCACCATTTTATACTATAAATATAGAAAAGGTATTTATGGTTATTTATTTAGTCTAGATATCAACGTCGTCGTAGGTATCATATCAAAGACATACAATTAGAAAAACTCAAGAGATAGATGTCGCCTCTCCAGAAGATAAAAATATGCACTACATACGCTACAGCGGAAATGGACGACATGCCATTCCTTTAAATGAAATTAATTGCTGCTATATGTATGTATGTACATTAGACTGCATCACTCCCCATACAAAAAAAAACGGTACTGTTTTTCCATTGGAATTATAAAATCTATTATATTTTAAGAAGTCCACCAAAATATTTCCGAAAAATATTAAGATTTAAGTGAGCTAGACCGATTTGAAAATACCTCCAAAAATGGAGTTTTTTATGAATAAAAATAGTTTCTTATAGATGTTTTATGAAAAAATCCCCTTAAATGACAAAACGGTTAAAACTTAAAAAAATTACATACAAATACTAAAAAATATAAATAAAAAAATTAACGGAATCGTAATAATGAGATTTTTGATGCTGTTTTTTAACTTTTTTCAAAGATTGGTATAAGAAAAACTTGAATAACTGAACCTAAACTCTTCCGATTTAGGTATCATTGGAAAGGTATTTTCTCACCCTTTTCATTTCTTTGCTAAAAGCTGATTCAA